TTTCTGGAATAGGGACTTTAGCATAGCATATTGTTCGCTTTAAAACACCTCTGGGCGCGTGGTGATTGTTTCAGGTCCTTGTGAAGCGTGGTGTTGCACGCCCTCAAAGAAATCAGATTTTAACGCCCGTCCTGCATACCCTGGCGCAAAGAAGACGACTGCTCCATCCTCACGGAGGATCATTCGTAACGACTTAGGTGTAGGTTGACTAGTAGTGCTACCAAGTGCGGCGGGGCCGCCGTAGCTCTTTCGCTTAGCGGAAGATTGGTTAAGGTCGGTGACCTTTTCTCTATACTCAAAACTAGTACAAATGTAGCGGATCGCAATTCACTTACCCAAAAGTAATAACAATGCTAACCTAACGCTAATAACTTTTCTTTTTAAAACGTGAATTGTATTTCTCGGTTTTATATGCGGCAAAGCCGCCCATTCTAAAATTATAGGTTTTTGTTCTTATATAATCAAATATATGAGTACTAGCAGTCAAGCTATGTTTCGACTTCGTGTTTAAGTGTAGCCACACCATCTTGCGTGACTCACACCCTTCATACCAGGGCACGTGAAACCCCGATACTACGGGTGGGTGTTCATATCAAACGCTTGAGCAAAGTTCTGGGTTATGAGCTCAGTATATGCTGTTAGGCCACCTTGCCAAATATGCGCTTGCGCCTAAGAAAACTTACTTTTGGTATGATTCATACCAAAACCTGGCTTGCAGGTAATCGCGCGAAAATGCAGGCCATCTCTGCAATTAGAGTTTGTACCTTCTTGGAATATTTCACAAATTATCTCCTCCCTTGACGAGTGAACAGATATTCCGATCGCATATACAACAATTATCAAAATCTGCCACTTCACCTGTTTTATGATAATAGTGCCTAACCAACATAGGCAACGCATGTAACAGCTTATACTGGTGTGCGGTCTTGTTGCCGTGACTGGAGAACTCAAGCGAGATGCACTGATGATCCGAACGGAGCATGAACAATCTCTCTTGTCAATCGAGAGATATTTTGTAGATCCTGATTTCGCTGGTTCAGATGCATAGGAAAAAAATAGGCGTATTCTCCGTGGCAGCTGGTCGTGCTCCAGCCACTTAGCAAGACCGTATTCACTGCGGGAGCTGGTTAAGCCAACTTTGAATCACTGATAAATGCTTTTAGATGCTCGATTACCGCTTCGGGCCCTTGAGCCGCCAATTACGCACTCTTCTTGGGACCAACAACGACGAGACCTTATGTATCGTGTCTAGGACCTAACGAAGGTCATATCATGTTTCATTTTCATTTTCATATAGGTTCATTCAGACTTGTCGTCAAATAGACGAAAAGGGCTACTAAATCGAACGACGATGCCGTGCACCTCGTACAGAAGGAGCTTTTAGCTCTACAAATCTGCATCAGCTCACTCAAGTTTGTGTGCGCCACCCGAATGTAACGTCGACGATTATTAATAATTATGTCTAGCTTTAATGACTTTATATAATAAGTAAAATGCTTGCCAAAAATATGTCAATTAACTCTAAACAGCGCAATTCCTTTTGATGGTCTGAAGGTTTATGTCGTATCCTACTTTTCTAGATTCGAAAGCTCTCCTTTTTGCTTATGCAGCCATGTTCTTGAGAGGCCCAGACATGAAAATTCGAAGCCCGGAGATACTCCCGACTACTGTAATCGTCGTACATTCTGAAGTTCCAAGGATGGCCCATGTGCTTTTGGATGCGTGGAGACTTGTGTTGTCATGCTCAAGTATCTATTCACGTCGTGAAAGCTTCTTCAAACGCAATCAGTCAGAATTTGTTTTCTGGTAGTGGAATGACTTTCGGCAGCCTATAAAGGAAGCTAGATTGCCTTTTAACTTTTAAGAACACCGCGCTAGAGTATCTACCATTTATTTTGACGACCACTTCTCGCAGCATAGTTTGCTATAGCGGATCCGATGGAAAAAGTTTGGATTTATGTAAAATTAATCGCGTTCATTAATGTGGTCAAGGTCTTACCAATGATTCCAGAATTGATCAAGCCGATGGATCAGCTTCAATTTCAACAATTTTTGAGGATGAAAAGCAAAGGCACGAGTAAAGAAATTTTCCAAGATACGTTTTATCCTGCAGCACTCTTATTTATTAGGTTTACAGCGTTCACCAAATCAGCCTACTGCCACCAGTCTTCGTGCTACGGAAGCGCGTTAACTTTTGTTCATTGAGCTTGTCGCCTTGCGTCTTATCGAGACCAATCTGTGGGTGCATAACCACCCGATTGATCGGGCCAATACCCGAAATTGCGTTACGAATTGGAGCCACCACCGTACGAATGCCTCCTCCTCGTTTGTCATCCTGTCCGCCTTGAATTGCGGACACATGACCATTCGGTGGTGAGATCGACACCAAGCCCCCATTTTTAGCCGGATTGAGCTCATGCATTCTACTTTCAATTGCCTCCATAAATTGCTGTTGTGGACCAATGACGCTACCTGGCCGACACAGACGGAGCCATCCAATAAGCTCATGAGCCGAAAACAAGTGATGCTTCATCATGTAAGCACCGATGCAAGTGCCCGTTCGTCCAAGACCAGCTTTACAATGCACTGCCACAGCTCCTGGGGTCTTCTCACAAGCTTCGATGAACTTCATTAATAGAGGCATTGGTGCATTCGTGCCATCGGGGTAAATGAGGTCAATGTGGTCGATGCCTGCCGAACGAAACTTTTTTTCGTCGTATTGTTTGTCATTGAGGCGGACCACAAGGGTTACGTTGCGTTTTTTAAAGTAGGGAATGTAGTGCTCGGGTGTAAGCATGACGTGGCCTTGAGAAGTGCGCTGGTAAGTGTTGTGCGGGCCAGCAAAGGCGATAAATTTTGGTGATACCCACGTTAGATCGCCATTCTCAACTCGTTCGTAGTGTTGAAATTCGTGCAGGTCAAATGTCTTGATGGAAATGTAGTCGTTGTTCATAGCCCGCTCGAGGCCCTTCAGACAGTCCAGAATTGTCAGATTAAAAGTGCAGACGGATGGAGTGGCGTCATGGAAAGGAGGAAAGCGCATGTGCTGAAAGAAGCCAAAGGCTTTTTCGGCGCTCATGTTCTGAAACAAAACAGCCCAGCAGCTCAATATACAGACAGCATTTGCACGGCGTTGTGCGTCCATCGACGAATAAAAGTAAACGACCTCCCCAGCTCTGGCTGCAGCCGCTAACTTCTTGTTCAGCGTTTCTGAAAAAACAAACGTATGTCCAAGATGAAGTGGACCAAAGTCAAGGTAGAAATTCCAGTACATCAGCTCGTTATCGATAGAGAAGAAGTGCATGCCAGGAAGTCGGGGAGGACCTTTCTTCAATGGTACATAATACAGGCGGCCAGGAAGGAACTCAACAGCTTCTTCAAGACCGTTTGCCACTGTCAAACTCGCCATTTTTGCTATGAGAATTGACAAGTTCCGGCTTTTCCAGCGTCTAGACGGTAATTGCTGCCTAAACTCGAGCCGAACGTGGCAAGCGAGCTCGTAAAATTGCGAAAAGTTGCAGGCGTGTGAAGGCTCTTTGTGCTAATAAGCTGAAGTCGACTAAAGTAAAAGTGAGTCACTGGAGAAGTTTGCGATCCAGACAGACCTAACTTCATGGCCACTTTTGGCTCCCGCTACGTATCGGTAGATCACACATTCGCGGTAAGAGCGCTGTGGAAATGCCTCCACGTCTGAGCACTTGAAATAGGACCAGTGTACCAAAGAAAGACAAGCCGACTTGTGGCTCTCATTAGAGCCGTTGGCAGAATGATAAATTTAAAAATACCGGACACGGATTTAACAAATCAACATGACGAGAGTTGTGCAAGCTCACCATGCTCTTCATACAACACAACATACTTTAAGAGACCGCAACAGGTGCTAGGGAAAATACAGATGATATGTTTACGCAGATACTCGGTCACTCAAACAAATTAGCTTGCAACCGGTGTTATCGAGCTAATAGCCACTCTGCATGACAACCAGTAGTTGTTCCTGCAATCGTTGTTTAATAGCAGAGTAAAAGCGCAGATCTGCCTCCAAAGATTGCTTGTAGCTGTCACTGACCTTTCCCTCCATACCTGATAGCCCACGATGACAGCGACCAATATTGTCGTTCACTTTGCGAAGCCGGTTTTCCAGTATATCCCATTCATCAGGAGGTAGTGCCACGTCCATTGGACGCGTTACAAGAGCTGTAGTCGTGTGAGCTCGTTTAGCAGGATGAGGAACAATATCTGTGATAGTTGGAATCTGAATAATTGTCGTTTCCTTTTCTTCACGAGATCGTTTTCCCAGTGAGATTTTTTGTGCATCATCATCACCAATCGTCGATAATTTGACAGATTGGCTTGTCTTCGCTTTCGACTTAGCCGACTGTTTCTTTGCGGACGAAGACATTGGCTTAGTTTCTCTCGTCGAAGTTGCATTGGTGGCTGCCTTGCCTTTGCCGGTGTATTTTCTGATCTTCTTTGGTACGCTTGCTTTATATTGTGAAACTGCTGGCTTTGACTGATTTACTCTTGTCAATACAACATCTTTAGCCAAAGTCGACTTTCCGACACGTATTTCAGGGGATGCCGGAATCTCTTTCATCTCAGGATTTTGTGTGAGCATTCCTGGCAATTTCGGGGGAGCAGGAGGCTTTGTCGTGGAGGTGACCAAAGCCGTTTCCATAGCCTTTCCTGCTACTGTGGATATTTCTGTATCCAGGTTGCTGCTATCAGCAGATGCAATTTGATCTCCGAACCCTGCGGCCAGTTTATTATCAGCAGGAGTCGCAGCTTCCGCCTCAGTCTCTTCAATTGGCTTGCTGGTAGCAATAACGCTTTGGGCCTCAGTCAATATAGCCTGCTGGCTGTTGGCACTAGTTGCAGCTTCTGTCCCTGTTGCAGCGCTCGGATTGCCAATGGTTGTAGAACCTACTTTCTCGATTATTGCGCTCGGGTTGCAGCTAGCAGAAAATTTTCCTTTATTTGTAGTGCCTGTTTTGCATTTAGCAGCATCTTGTATACTTACTGTTGTGACAGGCTTGCTGCTAGCTGCAACTGTAGATTGTACCTTATTTAATGCACCCGACTTGCATTTAACTGCAGTTTGTGCCGACTTTGAATCAGATGCTACCGTTTTGATCTTACTTCTATCAAATGGTTCGAATGCTGCCGAAAGTTTGTCTGACATGACGAATCTCGAAAGCTTTGGTTCCAGCAGCATGGCCATATGCAGATAGAGCAGGTCTAGTCTTCCAGCGCAGAAATCAAAGAACGAGTGAACAGTATCATTTTTATCCGCTGCTCTTTTGGCTTGCGCCACAGCGTTGCGGTACATAATGACAATCTCGATCCACATTTGGAGCAAGCGCGTAGCTGAGTGTGCAAGGATTACATCAGGTGTGACATTTACAAAAAGTGCGTCTTGAAAGTGAAGTTTGTCGAGTGACAGGTTTTTTGTCCTAAAAGCGACATGTACGTCCGTCCAAAAGTGGTTCATTTCCAGTTTACGGCCGCAAGAAATCATCTCGGACCAACGCCGGCAGAACTTTGGACTAAGAAGCACGTTGATGAGGCGAAAGCGACAGCCACGGCGCGTACGAATGGTCCGTTTCGAATTCATCTGGTTTGGAATCTTGTCACCCTGTCGTCGTGGCGATGCTCGCCGATAGATTGGTTTGCAGATCTCCTCGTTCTGCGTTTGGTCCCAGTCGCGAAGAAGCTGAATCAAACCAGCTTGGTCAGTTACGCGTTGGAGGGAGCGAGGGAGACAAATGTTGCGCTTAGAAAGTTCGAGACACAAGTCTGCGTACTTATAATTTTCATATGGTTCATACAGCTCTGGCAATGGGAGCGTCTCCGTGGACGGCATCGATGCGGTAAATGATGTAATCTTACATAAGACTTCATTTGTAATTTACATAAAAAGTATGGAAATTATAGAACTTTTATCTCATCTTTTCAACTCGTCTAACTTCTCCTTGTAACAGTTATCCTTTCTTGTACACTCCATCAAAAGCTGCGGTACACGTTCGTCATGTGGCCGACAATCAATTACTATTTTGTCTACGCTCGATCAAGTTGAAGCGTTGATGGTTGGTCTTGTTCAACAACTTGCTTCCTGCTATTCAGCAAATACTTAAGCCTGTCCACATGTACCATGTCGCCATCACAACGTTTATCGATCGTAATTGCTGAGGAGATTTATAAATGTACTTTTAGCTTAAGCCTACTCGGATTTGCCAGCACCATAAATCTTACTGTGATCCGCGAAGTATGACCAATTGTAAGCATATGTATAGTATTCCAGCTAATGAGAAGGATTCGAAACGACACAAATGGGAATTATGAAGATGACAGCTACTTCAGCATGATCAAGCACAATTTAAGACGAGATTTTGCAAATGAGTGTGACAACTGCATCCATCACCTCTCATAGAGCGCAAGCTCGACTTTGACCAGGCTACGGGATGTATACCGGGTGCCAAAAAGACTCACTACAATGAATCCAACGACAAGGTGTTGACGAGCAGCTAACTAGGTTGGTATAGTGCTTCTTATGATTGATCTGCACCTATCACAAAGAAAGATCTCAATTATACACTTCTGCGTAAACAACGCACTGAGGTATGGTTCGCAAGCTTTACCAAGGAACGAAACCGACAGCTTTGAACTTAATGATTGCTTAGTATGCTCTGTATTTCGACGAGCACTAGTGTCTATATCCAACGATACGACTATCATTTCACGTATCAATCTTAACAGACTTCCATCATGCCAACACTTCAGTACTTCTGAACTCTTATAATTACACATTTTTGCAATATGAATTTTGTACAATCGTACAATTTTGTGTCATATTGGTAGGGCGTACATTCACCGTTACACCCCCAACACCACAAACGTGGAATACACTGCGATCCACACTTCTTTGTCTTCTTAAGTCTTCGCGTAGAAGCAAACTTTCGCCGACCACGCACTTCGCTTGACATCTCACTCCGCTTCTTGCACCCAACAGTTACTGCTCCTACAAGCTTCATTGCGTCGGAAGTCCTCTAACAAAAGAATTATTACATGACCCAGCAAGCGAGGAGGAATGTTCTCAGCGAACGACGGCGTTAAAGTCATGTTTGGCGAGTTTGAGGAGGTATTTACGGTATGTTTGGCCGCAGGGAATTTCCAAGACTTCTCTCGACAGTTCCGCTCTCACCTGGACACATACGGCCGAGTAAATCACCATAGAGGTAAAGCTCATTACGCTTAGCCTTCCCGCTTTATGAGTCTCGGGCTGCGTGCCTTTTGCATTGGGGCGTATTGCTCGTCATTCCGCCCTTGAAATTATAATCATGTCCACTTCATTGGAATCAGCTAGGACTGGAGCAAGAGTCACACATAATCTAGCGCAAATCATTACGCAAGGATCATGGTTTAACCATTTCGATTCTCTCGTCGCGCTAAGACGAAGACCTAGTAAACCTCCACGTGTCGATCTGCTGCTCACACCACGAGTGAACTGAGCACTTTTTATACCCACAGGCCATCACTCCTCAGCAGTACCACCCGCGCTTAGTGCACAGTGGTTGTGAAAACATCTTGCTCCCTGAGGAGCGTACATTTCAAAGTTGAGGCAGGCGAGAAGGGTTCGAAACACATTTTGCGCATTGGCTGAAAAAATGCAATATATTACTCATTATCAAACTTCACAAGCCTGAATTAGTGAAACAGACGTTTCACTAGAGTTTTGACGCATGATTGGCATTGCGAAGCACAAAAACGACGTGGACGTCAAGCTGGAAGTCCGTATGGTCGGTTTATGATGTTAACAGTTAATGGTCGTTTTCACCGTAAGATCGTTCATTCCACAACTGCGAAGCGTGCTGCAATAGGCTTCTCTGCCTTTTCTGGGGGGATTCAATAGCCGATGGCGTGACAAATTGTATGTGGCAACAGCGCAAGGGAAATTTTTCGCAGTGAATTCTCAATCTCGCATTAATTTTAGTGGCATGACATCCCTTTCTATTGCTCAGATACTAGTAACAGTACTGGTGTACCCGCCGGCCCACAACTCATCTTACGTGAAAGTGGGTCACTCTTCGCTCAGTGTGCAGCATCGACGATGGACAGCTATTCCACGCGGAGGCTCCCATTAGCTCTATTTATGGAGACACTCTCAAGATTCTTTGCGTGCATCCGATACTGATATCAATTACTTGATGTGCTTTCTAGGCGACGTCTTCACATTGAGTGGCTAGAAGTATCCAGCGGTGCAAAATCGTATCGTTTACCTATATATATTAAAGAGAAGTTCAGCTACTGGTGATAATGAAGACTCAGCATCAACCCAGAAGAGCGCTTCATATCCGACTGATCGTGAGGGCTAGATCGTTACGTGGTTACACGTACTTTGGTATGAAAGGGTGGGACGCACAAGAGGGTGTCACCGGACATAGGTGTGGAAAACACAAGTCGGTGTGATCACAAAATGGTGTGGCTACACCGTAACAAAAAGCCAGAACGTGGCGGGACTGCCAGTAGTTACGCATATTCATTCTGTTGTACTATCTAATTAGGAAAAGCTAAGGGTTTAGATATAGGCGGCTCTGCAGCAAAAAAAACAAGAGAAATACAGTGTTTTTTTTTGATCGGAAAAGTACATTTGCCTTGGGTTAAGGCTGCAGTTACACCTGAAGTTAGCGGATTGCGATCTGCTACACGCATACTGATTCTAATATAGAACGTAAGATCAGTGACCTTGGAAAGCTTCCTCTAAGCAAAAGCTACGGCAAATTTGCTGCACTTAGTAGCACTCATAGTCAACCTACACCTGAGCCGGTGCAACTAATTCTTTGTGATGATGGAACAATTCTCTTATTTGCCCTAGGGCATACAGGACGGGCTTAAAAGATGATGTTCCTGCTTGGTCCTGAGAGCGTGAAACACCTTGCTTCACAAGGACGTAAAGCGATAAGCGCGCGCCTAGAGGCGTTTTTGAGCTATGAAAATGCTATGCTAGAGCACCTTAAGGAGAAGATGTCGGCGACGACTGCGTCCATGACGCCACGACCCCCCGACCCAGACAGCTCATGGTGAGCGTTAAGACCTTTGAGATTAAGAACGGAGAAAATCCCCTACTTTGGATGAGAGAGGCTGAGATGGCTATGGCATCCGCCAAGCTCCATAACGGCAAGCTCGGTTGTTGAGCACGAGAATGGGCGCTGACGTGCAGCACTTCAGTGGAAGCGGCGTTGCCGTCTTAGATGGAGCTGAAGCTACAGATTTTGCGAGTGTTCTCTCGGCCTAACCAGGCATATCGCGTACGATCGCATTTCCTTGCCGCTCGACAGGGAAAGAAGGAGTTGGTGGGCTTTGTTTGGGAGTTGCGAACTCTCATTGCCGGAACGGCAGCTGATCCTCTTCCCGAGGCGGTCACAGTGACCGTCTTTATGGAGTGCCTTCGCACTGGCGCGACCAGAGCAGAAGTCTTCCGTGTGTATCCGTCTCAAATTGAAAAGGCGTTGAGTGTGGCATTGAATACCGATTTCAACTTCAAAGTGGTACGACCTGCTTGGAATGCACACCCTAGCAAGCGTATGAGCCTAAGCCGATGGATCTCAGCCATGCTGAGGACGAGGCGGCAGAGATTCGAGCTGCCGAGCAGCGTTCGAACACCCGACGGTGCTTTGTCTGTGGTGAAACCAGTCACATTCAGGCTGATTGTCCCCTGCCTAAGGCGCGTCAAGGTTCACCAAACCGACGTCTCTTCTCGCCAGTCTAGTTTGTCGGGGTGAAACGACAACACGCAGTCAACACGGGGCACCCTACTGGGGAAGAACTGAGTTCTGTTGATCCTCATAAATAGGTATTGGGCAGTTGAGCCCGATCCCAGAGAGCTTTGAGCTCTTAAACACGTAGCGTGTATTCAAGCCGGGCTTGCTGGTTGTGGAAGCGACCGTTATGGGCTATTAAAAGCTATGGAAGATCTTCACTGTTCGCTTTGCAACGAGGATATGTGTCACGGCTCCGAAGGTCCCTGTGGACCTCGGTGTCAAGTTTCTTGACCTTGATAGCGTGGAACGCTGCTTGATCATATATGACCTTTTCCTTTGTATGGACTGATTGATACACCATGAGCCATGGATTGACTGGAGGTCGAAAACCTTGGGCGCTACGTGCACGTCTCCTGTTGGAGCTTTGGTGGGTCACGAATTCACCTCTGTTAGGGAGAGAAACGCTATTGACGCGAGCACTGGACCGAGATGGTCAACGTGCTGTAAATTGGAGTATTCAAATTGTCGACACCGAAGGTGTATCGGACAGGAGTCTCTAGCATGGCTCGAGGGTTGAACGTGGTTCTTAACCCACTGAGCACTGCCCACGTCTCGAAGCAGCCACTGCATGCCACGAGTGGCATGGTTGGACGAGCTACGAAGCATCTTTATGCGCTTGAAGAAGCACGTTATTCACTTAGCGAAACTGCAGAGTTAGCCTTTTTTCGTCGGATGTTTTTCATAATATTAGAACTCCGGTGGAGCAGAAAGTGGGGCTGATAATTAAAACCCCCCTGAGTGCGAGCTCACACGAGTCTCGGCGAGACGTACAGCTTCTGTCAAGAGGCGATAACGACGCCGTATGCGAGCTGCAAGACGCCGGTCGTCGACCCAGGATGTGTCTACCGTAGACGATAGCGCACAGCTATACACCTCGTCAACGGAAGACGGCGACGCCACCCTCGAGGCTATTCTTGCGGTGGATGCTCTTCTTGAGCTGGACACGATGCCCCTCGAAGTATTTGGAGGTGCCTTGAAGACAGGTGATTTTGCCGAGGTGGTCATTATACGACCAAACGAGGGGATTAACTTGTCGCTCTTGATG